AGGTTCTTCATAAGAGCTAATACTTTGTCTAGTTCTAATCATGACGATAGTTGTGGCCTTGAGGAATATCAGCAACGTGGCCAATTTTACCTGCATTGTTTTATGAGACAGATTCAATTAAAATCCCACAAGAAAATGTAATAAATACATATTTGAAAATTGAGGAGAGAATTATATGGAAAATGAATAGATATAATATGTACAAAGTTTACTTTTAGTGATTGTGAAAATGTATCGATTGTCAATCATGTCCAAATTCGCAACCCCAGTGGGGAGTAAAGAACTGCTTCATCTCAATTTATAAGAATCTTTAGGATAAAATCGTATATATTAATAAAATTTATTAAATACACTTCACAACCTCATTTTTTTTTAAAATGTCCTTCATTTAATTCTCCATTTGTAAAAAAAAAATATTAAAGAGAGATAATATTACATTGAAAAAGCATCATTAATTAAACAATATTTTTGTTAAAGTATCTTATATTTTGAAATACTGAATTTTCCTAAAAAGTATCTTATAAATTGGGACTTAAGGGGGTATTTATTTTGGAATGATTATTTTATTTTCATCTTTTCAATGGGTTTGGGATTGAATTAGTTTTCAATTCCAGTACTAACTTAAACTTGATGAACTCATATTGAAGAAATAAATAAGTTCGGTGGAAAAAAAAAAAAAGAACAAGCTGATCACATCTCCATCTTTACCTTCACTATAATATCAAATGATCATCAACACATTAAAAAAACTGAGCAATTACGATATCAATATTTTCTCAAACAAAAATTAAATTCGTCAGTTGCTGATCACTTGCGTGTTATGTGTTGATCAGACATCCAAAATGCTGGTACCCTAGCCGCGACTTTACTAGAGAAAAGGAGAACAAACAGCAAAGCAATGTTCAATATAAGCTTCTTCATATCAGCCATCTTGATCAAGTACAACTTTGTGAGAATCGCTAGAGCATTATATATAATATATATCTCTACATATAGAGGTCAAGCGAACAGATTTAATGAAAAGATTTAGTCAAACATGCATATTTGAATTTTTCCTCCCATAGGAACAATAAGTAAGAAATCCCTAATTTTTTTGTTGAAAACTAGGGCAAGATTGGGACCGTCTTTCCTGACTTTATCAAATATTCCATGTAATATAACTTTTGATTTTAAAATGGGAAAATGATAGAAAAATTCCCTTGAAATATGTAAATGACAATGAGGATATGAGATGCGTGAAATATGATAATTCTTCTCAAGTCCTTTGGGACCTTTGTAAAATTAATATCTTTTATGAAATAATAAGAGAGACTAGAGAGAGAAGCAGAACATGATAGAGACTAGAGTGTTTTATTTTACAGTAAAAGCCTAAATAGATGTTAGGCTAATGTCACGTTCAAATTTGATAAAGTAAAGTAGAAACAAATTAAACTGAACTCCACAATCTCACCACAGTTTCAACAAAACTTCATGGTTTTCTTATGTTAGATTTCAGTAACGATGTGTGTGTGTGTATTATACGTATGCATGTTTGTATAATGTATTTATGTTTAAAATTTTGACGCTATTCATATTCTCAACTGCGGCAGTTAAACCCTGTCCAAAAATATGGGATAATGGAAGATATGTGACATATATAAATAGGGGAATAAACAGAGATGTGACATATACTAATCTATATTTATATTTATATTCTATTATATGTATCTATAAAATCTCATATATGACCCACTATTCATAAGTCATGAATAATAATGCAATTTGTATTGTGTTTTGAATCTCATTTTACTACTACTATATTGTTATATATTATTAGTTTAATATGTATCTATTCAAAACTTTGCCGATATTTGAATTTGATCTTTTAATGTCTCCCCAAAAATTTTGTTCAAATTAATATTTGAATTTAATATATCCTTCAATCAAATTGCTTCTATCATGTTATTAGTAATAGCAACAATCTGATTCATCTACATAAAGTTATATATATATATATATATATATGAAGTTAATTGAACATAACAATATTTGCACCAACAAGGAGTTGGTTCTAGAGGAAGAGGCTAGTCTCTCAAGACATAGTAAGCCAAGGTTCGAATTTCTATTGGGAGAGATGTCAACATTTAGTGCTTGATCATACCTCGAACAAAATTATCTCTAATAAAAGGATACTCTTGAGTAATAAAAAAACAATGATTTGGAAAATAAAGACAATGAATTGCTCTAGCCTTTATGAAATGAATAATGATTCATATGTACACGTTCAATGTCAATGCTAGGATTTTGTCAATTTTTGGACTTGTCAACAGAGAGCATTTCATTTTTTTTTCCCTTTTGATTTTTTCAAAACAAGAAACTAGTACAGACAGAAATGAACCTAAACATAACACCACATCGCAAATACAGAAAGGTAGTGTACATTATTCAATCCATATTTCATACATGAATTCAAAATAATAACAAAAATGGTAAATGAGTCCCCACTAAATGAGTAAATCCTCCAATTTAATTAATGCCCCCAAGAATTTGAATATCGTTTTTGACATATGGAAAATGTCAAAAATGCTCTTCTTGACTTTGACATTTGACCAAACCATAATTGACCGGTGACAATTGGTCGTATAATTATAACGATTCAAAAAAATAATAATAATAAAGAGTAATACTTATAATTTTCTTTAAAAAAAAATGCCTTGAAGACTTGTGGTCAGAGAGTTAACATGCGATGGCCTGAGCTGCAAGCTGCAAGTTCGAAGAGGCAGAACAAATAAATAAAAAGTAATATTTATAATTTGTGAATAGTAAGATACTAAGATATGCCATGAGTTTTATTTACTCCTCATCAACTTGCTCTTCCCTTACATGTTGAGTATTGTATCTTTTTGGGAATATTGCATCAAAGGACCACTTAAGGATTAAGCATTTTGAATTTGCTATGAAGTCCCTAACATGACATCTCACAAAAAGATTGAATGAGAAAAAAGAAAAAAAAATCATCAATGCATTGGACGAACTAAAAAAAATTGGCATATAGTGGTGGAAGCCCGTGACGTCACATCTCACAAAAAAAAAATTGAATGAGAGAAGATAAATTTATCAATGCATTAGACAGGCACTACAAAAAAAAAAAAAGGGTTTTTAATAGTGGTTGGATGCTACCACTGAAGCCAATTGTAAGCAGGTTTGCTGAAAACTCTTACCAGGTTGCCAAACTGCCATTTGGCGCGAAACATATCGTAACAGTTTTTGGCTGACATCCGCAATAAATGTTGTAACGGTTTTGGCAAAAACATCTAGAACTTCTTCCTATCTAAATTATAAAAAATACTTTTAAAAAAAATTTATCATCTCAAAATATAAGACACTTTAAAAAATTAAAGTTTTATTAAATAAACTTATTTTAATATTTCCATTTCTCCCTCCTCTATTTAATACTAATTAGGTGTAGATTTAATATTATTAAATGAAGAATATTTTTAAAAGTTTATATTTTTGTTTTGAAATAAAAAGGTTGTTAAATATATTTAATAAAATTTATTAATATATGAGATTTTATCTAAAAATATTTTATAATTTGAAATGGAGAGAATACAATATATGGCGTCTAATGACGGGAGCTCTTGCAGTGGTTTATACTCCCCCTGTTTCTATTTATAGGAGAAAAAACTATAACACACAGTTTTAAAAAAATTAGTTAACTATGTTAATAGTGTTTAAAAATAAAAAAAATTAGACTACAACACCCTTAATTAATTGTGTTAATCAAGCTTTCATTAATTATTTTTTATAACATTGAATGATAAAATTATGAAAGGTAATTTAAAAAATTTACAATAAATACTTATTAAAAAATATAATTTTCTTATATAAAAAATAAATAAAAACAGAGGGAGTGTATGGTAGCAGTTTGTCTAACAAAACGGCCACAATGTTGGTCACCCGCAGGAAGAGTCACTTGCGTGGCAGTGACATGACAGTTTTGTTAGCGGTTTGTGTAGAACCGCTACCAGTTACGAAAACTGACTCAACAACCTTTATGTTGACCGGTGGCGTGAGACATTGTGAACATTCTCTTTTGTCACATCTGTCAAAACCGCTCGCATCTAATACCAACGCTAACGCTTATATAAACAACGGCCCCTCCTCTTTATCACTTTTGGCAAATTTTTGTCACGTGCTTCCTTTGAAATTTCTCTCAACTTTCCCCTCCTTTCTACACAACTCTCTTCTCATGCAAGTTATTTTGAGCCTTCAAGTTTGTATTTTAATATTTATATTATTTTTTTAATATTTGTTTTATTAACTATTTTATTTTACAATATGAGTTTTGAAGATGATGCTTATCAGCCCAATGATGATGAGCCTCATGAGGGGGACTCTAAAGCTCTGTTTGGTAGGCAGACCTTAATTTAGAGGGATTGGTAGTGAGATTGGGATTGAGATTGGTATTGGGAATGAAAGTAGAAATGAAGTTTTAAAATTATGTTTGGTATGAAGTAATATTAAGAAGGAGTACTTATTTTTATTTTATTTTATAATTAAACAAAAATATAAAAATACTATATTATCCTTCAAAATATAAACTGAATATTTATGTCATTATCATCAGAACAGTTTCCTCTCCCTAAAACAAAACGTCCATAGCTGCAAAATAAATGCTTACACTGGTTATCCTCATCATCTTCTTCCTCTTCTAACTTCTTGTTGCTCTTCTCCCCAAAAAGAACACTCATGGCTACACAAGAGAACCTTGTTGCTATCCTCTCCTCTATTTTTTTTCCTTCTGGTTTGAACTAAGAAATGAGAATGACAAGGATGTAGACGACAGTGAAGTCGACAACGATGGCGAGATCTGGTGGCCATGGCTCGAGCTTAGACCGATTATGTAGATGAGGTCATTGATTGTTCTCCTCCTTCTCTCATCTTTGATGTCCTCCTTCTCCCTACAAATCTGGTGATGATGTCGGTGAACGAGAGAATGGTAACAGCAGAGGAGACACCGGCGTTGCTTATTCTGAAAGGAGGGCAAAGGCGGAAGACGACATGGAGACGAAGGAGGAGCAAGCAGAGGGAAGGAGATGATGGAGAGATAATGGGGGTAATTTAGTCTAAAAATAATCAATCCTGGGATTGATTTTTCAGCACCATGGGGGTAGTGGTATTGAGTAATCCCACTTAGATGGGATTGGTATTGGGATAAAATTTTTCATTCCTTCACACCAAACACAAGAAGGTGGGATTATCTAATACCAATCCCAATCCCACTCTCTCATTCCCTCCTACCAAACATAGCCTGATGGTGAGGGCGAGGAAGAGTTGAAGAAGATGGATGCGCTCAACTTATGTTGTTATTAATTATTAATTTTATTTTTTAAATAATCTAATTGTTTTATGTTTATTAAATTTAATATGTTATTATTAATTATTTACAAGAGCCTCATCTATATAACAATACCTATGAGAGGGTATAACAAAAGCGTGATATATTGCACTAACGGATTGAATTCAAGTATTTTTATTCAATTGAAAATAACTCTCCGACATACATAATTTTTTAAATTCATTAAGTTTAAACCATTGTTTTACAAATTATTGAATATATATATATATATATATATATTTACTGACAACATCAATAGGAAATCTCTCTCCCATGTATTCTTTCTCAATAATATCTCTAGGCCATTATAATCTTCTTCAAAACACGTGCATGTGTCTAATGACGATGATAATGGTGGTTCCGAGGATCATCCATATGGATTTTATCTGCAATATTTTGAGACAGATTCAATCAAAATCATAAAATTAAATATTAAATATATATGACATTTATCACCCGTCAATAATTTCCAGATTTATAAACAAAAATAAAATAAAAATATGAAAAATGAAGAAAAAGAAAAATTAAGAAGCGAACGAGTAATCTATAAGGATGGTGTAAATATTTTACTTTTAACTTTTTAATAATATTAAATGCATGGTTGCGATGGGTTTGAATTAGTTTAAAATAATTTAAAATTGTGTGTGGATATTGTATCTTTAAAGATGTAGAATGCATAATAAAAATAAGTTTAAAATTTAAAATTTAATAATGAACTAACGACATTTGGGTGATTCAGTAAACCCAAAAAAACAAAAAAAACTCACAGGTTTAACTTTCAGCTTTGTATGCACTTAATGAGAGTAATCCCCCATTTGAAGCCTAACAATATTAATGTCAAAGCATATGAATTCAAACATTTGTTTAAAAAAAAATGTGCAACATAGTAGTTGAGATTTCATTACGTTCGAAAAAAAAAAGAATATAGATAGAGATTGAGAAACAAAAAAAAGAAGGAATCCATAAGCCAATTTGGTCCATAAATATGAACTAAATGATCGATAGAATGTGATTGGGAAATGATTTAAATTAAAAGCATAAAAAATTTAAATTAATTTGAGCCAAATGAGATACTCCCTCTGGTTTTATTTTTATAAGTAACTTGCCATATGTTCTTGAGAAAATAAGTTAAACCTTCTTAATTTTGTCTAAAAATTCAATAAGTTTCTAACTTTACCCCTATTAGATATACAACCTATAAAAATAAAATACTTCAACATTTAATAGACTTCTCAGCATTTATAAAGGGGAAAAAGGGTATAGATGGACAGAAAAATTATGAAAGTATCTTATAAATAAAAATAAAATAAATATTTTCTATTTACTGCATAAATAGGATCAAAGAAGCATATGATCAGTTCTTTTTCACTTACGTGCAATGTGATGATCAGATATCCAAATTGAAGGCGCCCGAGCTGCGACCACTTTCCCGAAGAAGAGAAGAACAAACAGCAAAGCAAGATTCAATATCAGCTTTTTCATATCAACCATCTTCAATTGAAAAATCTACAAAAAGAATATCAGATAGAACTATGTAATTAAGCTTTAATTCTGGTAATTGCTGGTATATAACCTTTAAAGACAGTTGAACTGGACTGGCATCTCAAGTGATATTCTTTAGTCAAACATGAGCATTGTGATTTTTCTGTTTTCCTTAGAACACACGAAAAGGAAGTAGCTCGGAAATCATACTTTTGTGACTTGGCTTCTCTGCATTTATTTTCTCTTTACTTGCTCTCCATTTATCATCTCAACCTTTACATCAATTTTTTAATGGTTAAGATTTAATATTTTATAAAATTTCTTTTTTATTTCTTAATTGCAATCCTGAATTTTGAATTGTAGTTTTGATCAAATTTGCTATATTTTAAAGTTATTTATTTTTGCATAATTTGATATTTTAATAATAATAATTTTATGAAATACTAAATCATAACCATTCAAAATTTAATTCAAAGGTTGGGATGATAAGTGGATAGGAACTGGAGAGAAAATAAAAGGAGAAGCTAATTCTAAAAAGTAAGGCAGAGCATGATTTTGACTTTTATTTTTTTTCATAAGTCAACTTTATCTAACTTTCAATTTGACATTAGCCTAATTAGTTTGACTTTTATTTAGCTAGGTTTATGCATTAATTTAATTCTTGCCAGCGATTTTTTAAGGAAAAGATTTATGGGTACTTATTATCAAGTTATTCAATGATTCAAAATTTTAATACAATATCCAGATATATGTATGCAATAGTTTGAGCATATAAGACAGTAAATTAAATCCAGCATGTTTCAATCATAGAAAGTTATCGATTATATTTCCTTTTTGTCATTTATTGCATAAAATATAATCATCAAAAGATTAGTATTGCTCTTGCTGAGTCATGTGTGTGTGTGCGTGTTTGGCCAACAAGTCAAATATATATTTGATTCCCTAAGTAAAGATGAACAAACCGAAAGAGCATTAAATTTAATGTCAGGAATATTTAGTCAATTTTGAAGATATCAACCGAACATTTTTTCCCCCGTCACTTCTTTTTCTTTTTCTTTTACTTTTTTTTCAGGTTATAAGGCAAAATTAACCTTTAAACTGTAAGCTCAAGAATGTTTTTGATGGTAAACTTATTTTTTGTACAATGCTTTCTTTCAATATTTGAGTATTATGTTACGCTGACTCATAATAAAAATTAAATTTGATCATTAGTTGACCAGAAAATTCCAGAAAAAGATAAAAATAATTATAAAAAATGATCTAATAATTACATATAAGTATCATTTAAAAAAATGAATACCAATTAAGTTTTTTAAATTACAATAAATACCAAGAAATTATTGTATTTATTTTAATGATATCTTATTAAATATTAATAATATAATATATAATAACTTAAATATTATTATTTACAAATTTTCATACATAATTTACAAGACAACTTTTGATATTTATGATTTCTTCAAAAATTATAACATAGCTAATGTAGTTGTTAAAAAGCATTCATGATCTATGTATCTTAGATACAGTAGTTAAGCTTTTAATTTTTAAAAAAAGAATTATAAATTTTGGAGGAATATTTATAGGCAATAAAAATAATATTTAAACTATTAAATATTAGAGTATTAATATTTTACTAAGATATTATTAAAATAAAACAGTAAACAGATGTTTTAATTTTCTCTTTTGATAAAATAAATTTTAGATAATTAAGTTGGGTATTGGAGGCTTATCAAAGTCATGGCATATTTCCGGACTCAAAAAACACTTACAAATAAAAGTACCTTATAGATCGGCTACTAACAAAATTCTCATATCAGTTGTGAGATTTCCACATATGATAAGTAAAAATTTGTAAGTCCAATGTGACAATTACAATTACGCCAGAAAACAACTAATATTCTTACTACTATATTAACTGGCACACTAAATCAAATTACGCATATGAGTAAAAGTCTCGTTCAGCTTTCTCTCAACACTTGATTTCCAATGGGACTTCTGTATGTTGATCAAGGATTAGGATGAGGATAATTGTGGCCCTGTGGTTGATCCCGCGCTGATGTTCGTTCAAGTTTTTCAAGGAATTAACAATTCCATCTGTTAGTTAATTAACCATATACAATACACACAAAAAGAAAGTGTTTCAAAGAAATAGAATGTAACTTCGAGAATGTTAATTATAAATAATATGGTACATCAGAATTTCAATAATGACTAAATTTATAGAATTTAGAAAAATTGACGACTAAATGATAAAATCTTCATATAAAGACTGAAGTACTATAATATACAATTATATGAATTGAAAGTATAATTTTTCCGGAAGTTTTTAATCAATTTAAACATCATATACAGGAAAACGGTATGCTGGCCATAAAACACAAAGCAATGTTTAAGTCTAGTTTGATTGGAAACAGACAAAACCTAAATCAACACACACACACACACACACACACACACATCAATCATTAATACAAAATATAAAATCTATAGTTGCAGATATTATTTGTAAATCGTACTATTTAATTTATATTTCTCAGCTTATAACTTACCCGTTATGTGAATCTTGGGCGCCCCAAAAAGTTCCCTTGCAGCCACTTTGGTGGAGATGAGGAGCACAAGAAGCAAAGCAAAGTTGAGCATGAATATTAGCTTCTTGAGTTTAGCCATGTTCAAGCAAATTAACGCAAAAATGTTATGGGAAATTCAAGACAATATGATTGACTTGATCTGAGAGTTGATTGGAGACTTTTAGCCTTTTAGGTATACATTTATAGGCATCCACTGGTCAAAAGAGTAATAACACTTCACCAAAGTTTTGTTTGACCGCCATCTTGTGATATTATCATATGTTAGGTAATACATTTCAACTGTGATGTCGTGATTAAATTGACAATGCACTTCCTAGCTATTAGAAATAAGCAACGACGATCCAAAAACAAGGGAAAAATAAACAGATAAGAATAGAGAGAAAACATCATATCTTAACTCAAAACCTCAAATATCAAATTTATAGGTAATTCTTCTTTATTTTATATTAGTTATAAAACTTGACTTTATCCAATGTGAGACTTTTCACATTAACTCAAGTGATCACTTGGACAGCCTACCACTTCCTTTAATTCTAAAATGCATAATCTTTTGAAATATCCCTCTCATTTAATTGGAATATTGGATTACCAACTTTTAATCATTTTAATTTGAATGTGAACTTTAAGCAAATGGAAAAATGGCATATTAAGAAATATTTAATTGATGTGGTGAATAAAAGTTGTTGTGCTTAATTTTACATTCAGGACAAAACCAAAATTTACAAAAAGCTCCAACATTTTGGACTAGAAGTACTAAACTAAACTAAATGGGAAAACTATAAGGAATGATCCAGATTAAACATTAAATAAATTTCCTTTTAAATCAAAATTATTTAGGAGAATTCAATGAATAATATTATTGTCACATCCTAATAAAATGGAAGTGACTAGCATGAGATATGCACTAGAAATTACATCTCTAAAACTTTAAATTAAGAAATTATTCCATTTATACAACAAAGTTATATTTGTATTGGAATTATGACATTCTTAATAATTTTAATTCAAACAAAAGTTTTAATATTTTTATAGAAATTTTGCCAAAACGTTCCTTGTAACTAGGACCTCTCGAAAAAAAAATTTACAACACAAGGTTTCAGGCAAAATATCATAATAATCAAGAGCTTAACTCCTTTCAACCAACATACAAAGTTTATAATAAAATAAAGATCTTAACTATAGTCTATGTAGAGTACCTAGAATTAAATTTATAAAATACAATTTCATAAATTCAAATTTTACATTGAAAGGAAGCTTAATTCACAGCTCCTCTACTTCCCATCAGAATAAACCCTCAATCATTAGCAAGAGGTTCAACTTCAATTATAATATCTAAAGCCAAAATAATTTTTCAGTGAATAACGTCCCAATTATAATTGATGGAAATAATAAAAAGTATATCAATGAGTCTTTTATAAATTTAATGAAATAATCAATTAAAAATAATATAAGCACATACCTTCTATGTATATATATATTGACAGATATGTAAATGTAAAAGTCGTGAATACATGAATTCAATTACAATTTATTAGAAATTCAAGTTCCAGTTTAAACATCAAAATATATTTAAACACTATGGGAATTATTAAGCTAAATTTAAAATCCAAATATGGTAAAAATAATAGTTTGCTTTAAAAGATCAAATTTTAAGGAAAACTTAAGTTTCAAAATTCACTTTTTAATAGGACTTGATCGGAACAATTAACAAACATAGATATACAGTCCATAAAGGTAAATAACTAACAAGTGTGGATACACAATCCACGAGAATAAATAACCAAACGCAATGTAAAACCATGAAATGATTAAGAGCGATTTAAAGTCACAAAACAAGCACAGGCACAAGGCCTATGAAAATAGGCGTGAGTACAATATTCACGAATTATCATCCCTCCATTCTACATGCATTGGCCCTCTCACGGGATTAGCACCTTCTACAAACACTTTGTTAGTTAAGTGTACCATGGGATGCCAAGGGCTAATGGGTCTTCTGTTAGCAACTAGTATTCTAATTTAGTCTCATATTTCAAATCAAGCATGCATGGGTCTAAAATCAACATATTATTCTTTTTTAAAAATTATTCATCAAACTCAACATAACTGAATCCATATGTAAATTCCATGCATGAATCAAAATAGTTAACCATCCCTTACATGTAAATCAAACATTACCAAATATAGCAATCGCTTTCAAATTTTCATTTGAAAAATTATAGTTCCAACTCTTTTTATTAAAGCTATTATAATGACATTTCTAAGTACAATAGCCACTAATAAAAATAAAAATTATAAATCATTAAAGAAAAATAAATAAACATACTCTATTGTTTGTCTTGAGAAATTTCAAAAGAATTACATAAATAGAAAAGGTGGCTCGTGAATAGGCTCAATCAATGTTTAAATAAATAAATAAATTTGCTAACAAATTATTAAGACGTTATTCACATACCTATAGTACTTTTAAGGCTCAAAACTCACTTGTTACAACTTCAATTGAGCTTCCCTTCTTCCAAACACCAGGCAACACCTCAGTCCCAGTGAATCATTTCCCACGCGTCAACTTCCTTCCAACAGCAGCTATGTTGCCGTGAATGGAGGGGAAGAAAAACGAACAGGGATGGCGACTCTGCAACATCGATGGCGAGTACCCCTCTGTCACCAGCGATGAGACACAGCTGACGGTGAGGAAGAAACAGTTGATGGTGAGGACCAGAGGAGCAGCTCGACGGAGAAGAGAAAATGAAGGAAAAATCGGATGCTATCTCATTTTCTCTCTCTCGTTGCTTCTGGTGTTCGAATGGCAGAGGAGGAGGAAAAAAATCTGATCCAATAACTAATTGGGCAAATTACCAAAAAGGACACAAGAAAAATTATAGAAAAGGGAACAAAATTTTACCGTAATTCAAATAAAATATAAAGCCAAACTTATGCTCTATAAATTCAAACTCTGGATCTTCAAAAAGTTACTAACATAAATTCTACTAAACTAACACTCTCCATTTGCTATAAAAACAATTTAAATAACAATTAATTGGGAGAATTTTTTTAATTAATTTAATTTTTTTACTACTTTAAAATTTGGGGTCCTTACACTTATACATGGAGATGTAAAAATTATGTTAAGTGATGATCGTTTTTTTTTTAATGGGATGAAATCATAGCTAGTAAGCTTCCTATCATTAAGTACTAGCAGATATTATTTTATCATTCTGGCAACAAGGATATATTCATATCTCATTACGTAAGTGTTTAAAACACTTAATAATTTTCCAATTATAACAGCAACCTTAAAATTATATAACAATGATGTCTCTCAATTATGCCTGAATTTGATTCATTTTTATTTTAAAAAAGTAGATAAACCTCTAGATGTAACTTCCAACTGAGAAGCTTCAGATTGGTTTTATTAATATTACCCTTACTATACATTAACCCCATTAACAAGTAATAAATAAAATACAATGACAGTTGGGATGAAGATCATGGGCATGGTTGATTACTGTTTTTAAGAAGTGTTTTTAGAACTAAAACAAAAACAAAAAACAAAAAGAAAAGTTGTTTGTACTACTATAAGTATTTTTCTATTTGCCTGATCTCAAAACTTAATTAATGTTTTTTTTCTGGGGTACAAGCAATACAAACAGAAGAATAACTTAGAATTGAACTAATTTATATATATAACAGAATAATTCAAACAAGCGCGACAGTGAGACATTTCCAGTCACCCTTTTTTGTGGGCGATATGATGGAAGATTATTTTTAGTCAAATCGGTTCGAATCTGGGTGCTAGAAAAAGATATAAGCCTAAAGTTTATACAAGAGTACTTTTCATGGCTCAAGTTTAAGCTTGCTTGAACCTATCTAAAGTTCGGCCTGACATGAAAGAATAGTGTTGAAGCTCTTACATACATGTTTCTTACGTGGTCCTAGGATCTTAGCATTTTGGTTTCTGATGATCGTTTTTCTACCGTTTGTTGCAGAAAGCATCCACTCTATGAAAGTTTCAACTTCCTCTATTGGCCAAACTTGCTATGTTCTGACCAATGATTAAAAAACAGGCCAAACGATTGACCAGTCTGGATTTTGACTTAGTCAGCATGTAAAAACTGTTTTAGGGGTTGAGTTGGGTTAGGCCGATTTGGATAGGTGGTTGGAATGAAAATTGGAATCAAGCTTGGAATTGAATCCAGTTTTAAAAAACCGGACTATTAAAAAAAACTTTTTTATTTTTTATCAAATTTTTTTAAAAAATGACCAATTTTTTTAATCATTTGATATTATGTTGTATCATATGACTTGTTAAGTCATAATAAACTTAAAATATTTGGTTTTATTTTTAAATTAGTTAGTAATTTTATATTTATTTATTATATTTAGATTATTATATATATAATTTTTTAAATTTAATTGTTAGTTGAATTATGTGAACCGTGAATCACTGATCTTCTCAGTTTAATATCCGATCCGGTTTTAAAAGCATTGGTTCTAACAGCGGTGGTGCAGAGCATTTTCCACATTCGGTGATGACTCAATGCATGATGAGCAAGGTTTCATTCCACGTTACATTCCGAAGCCTTAGTTATTTTAAAAAATATTATAAAAATTGATTTATTTTTTTAGTTTCACACCCTTGTCCGATACAAACCTGGAACACAGTATTGCCACTTTACATGACACCAGGTAAAGAGATTTGGAAAGAGTACATGAAGCATTTAACATCGACGAGTCAAAGATCTTATTCAAAAGGGCTCTCAGTTAATTCATTTTGTTTTTTATTTTCGATGTGGTTTTATTATTTAAAGAATCTTATAGGATTCAATGGATTATTAGGAAGATTTAAATTAAATAATATTTTTTATATTTTGAATTATCCAAATGATCTTTAATTATCTAAATAATTTTCTTATAAATTAGGATATTGTTTAGAAATCAAATTAAGTCAATTATTTTTTTATTTTATTATATATTTTCATTTTTTAGCTAGGTTTCAATTAACTGGGCTTTGTGAGCTCAATTATCTCAATTAGGGTTTTATTAGGAAATATTGATTACTCCTTCTGATCCTATTTATAAGTCATTTCGAGTATGTTTCATTAGAACAAAGAAAAAACATTAAACCTCATTAACTCTGCCTTAAAATGTAATAAGTTTCCACCTTTACCCCCTAATAA